GTTGTAAAACATTGTAAAACAAAATTTGAGAAGGTGAATGAATAGTCCGCAACGAAGTGAAGGGAATAAGTGCCAAAGAAGAGGAGAAATTTTTTCAGATTAGTATCCAAGAACCAATAATTTTAGCAAAATGGTTTCCATCTTTTCTCTACTATGTAACTACTTCTTTGAATACCAGTAATACAAATCTGGAACCAGAATGACAGAGTTTGAATCCAGGCTCTGCCTCAGTTGAGCTTCTCTGAACTTCGGTTTCCTTGTCCATACAATGAGAGTAATAACAACTTGATTATAGCTAATTGTTGTGAAATTAAAAATTTGTGTCTGTGAAGCAGTTAAAACATTGCCTTTAACATAGTAAACACTATATGTATTTGCAATTACTATTACAGTGGTCCACAATCCCCCAGACCTGATGCTGAATACCAGAAGCTCCAAAAACCAAATTTTTTTCTATAACTCATTTGGCAGCAAAACCTGAGCTGAACAAATGCAAGGCTATTTATAGTCTTCATTTATCCCACTCAATGTGACTATATATGCATTTCATGCATATATTTGTATGTGTTTTTGTATGCTGCCCCAAACTTAACTGTGGTGTATTTATTAATTTCCTAAAATCTGAAAATCTCTAAGTCATGAAACACTTCCAGCCCCACATGGATAAGATTATGGACCTACATTACCTTTGAAGCCTGAATAATTCCTATTTCCTTAAAATGAATGGCATCTTCCTAATTAACTACAAGCAAATAGGACCCTGAACCTAGCCGTAGCGAATTTTAGGGTGACGAAAACATTTCCCAGTACAGTGAGGTGGGTCCTGCATTCCCAAAACGTTCCTTTCAAATAAAATCCATTCATAATATTTTATATACAGTTCACAGTAGTCAGATATTTGAACTCTAAATTTAGTGCTTGCTTAAACAAAGTGTATTCTTTTAACTTAGATTACAAACAAATAATTTAGGCTCTTTGGGGGGTATTAATGTGTCCTGAGACATGCATACCAAATCATTACAAAACTTTAGAGCAGGAAGAGACCCTTGAGAACTAATCTAAACTATTACTCCTTGCCTTCCAAACTGCTTAACATCCATAAATTTATTTTTCCCTATGAGGTAATAATAACCTGCTCTAACTTGTCCTTAGACTCTGGCTATAGGAACACCCTGTAAGTGAATACGAATAAACTGGGTGTGGTACACTGACAGACACAGGATCTAAAAGGATGGTTTGAACCTAGCATAATAAATTGTACGTGTTTGGTAAATGTCTCAGCTTATATTTTAAAAAATAACAAGAATTTCCAAATCCAGAATGAAGGAAAACTCATCCAGCATGTTAAAAAAAAAAAAAAAAAAAAAAAGACAACTATCTTAATGGACTCGATGAGTCAACAAATAGTATAGCTGCCAAAAAAAGCTACTGATTAGAAATAACTACATCAACAGTAGAATAATAGCATCCAGAAAGAACGAGGTAACTGCCCTCTCTGCTACAGCAAGTTGGAGCTCATCTGGACTATTATGTTCATCTCTGTGTTCCACACTTTGGGAGAGACACAGAAAGACTGAAAAAGTCCAGAAGAGCGGTGACCAGGATAGTGAGTGAATTTGAAATCATATTATATAAAGAACAGTTGAGGGAGCTGAAGGCATTTCATCCAGACTCAGAGGGAACAAGACCACTATCCCTGGACCCCCGAAGAACTGTCATGGCACAGAGAGAGCAGCCTTACTCTGCATGGCCCCAAAGGGCAGAGCCAGAACCAGTCTGTGTTAACTACAGAGAGAAATATTTCAGCTCAGTCCATGGAAGTATTTCCTAAAATGTAGAGCCATGTAAGAAGGTAGTAGTAATGTTCTATCTGGCCCTAAAGGTCCATATTTTTTTTCCTCCTGTAGTCCCCCATTCAATCTTGGCTGCCATACTCAGACAGACAGAAAGCATGGGATCCTCTTTTCTTGCATCTGCACTAGAATCTTAACAGCAGACAGTAAGTGCTCCGGGTCTGTCAAATAGATGCATTAAAGGTTCATAACTTTAAAAATCAAACACTTGTTATCACCTCAGTCTCTTGCTGCTGATATAACTATTATTTTACAGTATCACAGCCTCTTCCTTCACCCTCCTTAAAATGTCCTTCCCAGCCAACCAATCAGCCAAATGTTTTGCCAGGTCTGCGGGAGGAAAGTGCCTGCTTGCTGGGCAATTAGTTTCAGTTTGCGATCAGTTGTCCCTGTAAATAAAAGAGGGCCCTAATTGAGGGGCAGGCAAGAGCTCTCAGCAAGACCTTCACAAAAGAAATTTTTATTAATTCCGGGAGCAGCCAAAAGACCCAGCCTATCATATAATATATTATCAAAGATATTCAGTCCTTAGAGGAACATTGGAACATTAAAATAAAACACCCTGTACAACCAAGTTCCCAAATGCCAAGAATACAACTTTGCAAGCCAAACTAGGTCTCTCAAATTCAGGTAGAAGTTCTCCTTGGGTCAGAGAGATGTGTTTACTGTTTGAAGTAAATTAGAACCCATGTTCAGATAAAAAGGTCCCACTTGATTATATCACTGTAAAGCTAAAACTGCATATTAATATGCTGAGAACTAGACAGAGGCAATCCATAGTGAATTCACAGAAAAATACAAACTATAGAAAATTTAAAATACAGAGCTACCAAAGTTGAGCATCCTCCTCAAACGTTTGTAACCCAAAGACCACTACAGACATAGGTATATGTTAGTCCATGAAAAGCCTTGAAAAGTTTGGATTGCAAATATAATCAATCCAGCTTTACTTTACCTAAAATTCATTTGGAGTGTATGAACTCCAGCCAAAGTATTAGAGAATATAATATAGATGATAGACTCAACAAGAACACATTCTTCTCTGTGCTTTTTAAAGTGAAACCCAGAAGCAATCTAAGTGTCCATAATAAGAGATTGGTTAAATTATGATATAGTCCTACAAGAAAAATGCAACTGTTAAAAAAAATAATAAGGTAGACCTTAGGCACTAACATGGCAGGAGCGGGGCCAGAGGGAGGGTGGAGAGTCCATGATACATACTTAAGTGAATATAGCAAGTTGTAAAAATATATATAGATAGATTTATTTTATGCTGAGTTTTTTAAAACTATTTTTAAAAGCCTATGTGTATGTTCATATACACCCAGAAAAACGTATGAAAAGAGATCAAACTGTTAACAGTAGTAACCTCTAGGGACTCACTGGAACCTGGAGGCAGGAAAGGAGTGACTTTCACTTGTTCCTTTGAGGACTTCTGGTTGTTTGTAACTTTTTTTGCAAGTAGTGGTTACTTTGTGATTTAAAAATAACAACACAAAAACAATAAAAGTAAAACAGCATCAACTACACAGACTTACTTATCCTATATTAACCATCCAATAAGTGATCTTGCTACTTAAATGCTACTGTGTGCTTCCAATTCCAGAACATCTATTTCCTCTTTTTTCTATTATGCTTCACTAAGACAAATAAAAATCACCTCAAGTCCCTACTAGGTTCCTCAAATGTTTTCTATCCCCCTACAGAAAAAGCCTAGTCATATATAATCTTCACAGCCATCCTATGAGTAAATATTACGATTATTTTCATTTCACAGATGAAGAAAGCTTAAGAGACCTGCCCAAGATTATACAGTTAATAAGGGGCAGAGCTAGGATTCAAAACTACAAGTAGGCTTGAGAGTTCATACTCTCAACCACTATGCTTCCTGTCTCTCAGTCATAGGTCAGTCTCTCCATACAAGGCCAAAAAAGGTTACAGTCAAAATCCAGCGAGAAGAGAAGCTTAGCTTTTTTTGAGTGAATAATCTGCATTCCTACTAATGTCAATGCCAAGCTTGAACCCAAGATTCAAGACTGTTAAGACTAGTAATCATGTGGCAAAACTCTACAAACTCAGTTACAGTCCAAAGTCCATACTTGAGTCCACAGTGGATCATTGAGCCTAAGAATTAGGTCAGAGATCCATTAATGTTAAGTACATCTCGGCAAATGGTTTGGACAAGGTAGGTTTTGTTTTGTTCCAAGTCCATTTCAGATGGAAAAAGGGAGAGAATAGGAGTTGTCTCTGACTTTGCTTGAAGATTTCAACCCCCAGGAAAAAAGGACCTTATTTTCTATGTGGACTCAAAAAACAGAAATGGGCAACTTATCAGCATTAGCAAAATTTAACATTCTAGCGTGAGAGAGAAAAAGGGGGGGTGGCATCCCTGCTTAATTTGTATATTTGTCCAAACATATTGACCTTGTCATTGAGGGACCGGGAAAAAAAAATGGTGCAAGGAAGGGATTTAACCTAATTTATGACTGTGCTCAACCTAGATACACACCTGTCCCAAATGACCGACTGAATCCACGTACAGCGGGGGAAACACGCATCGCAATGTTTCTGTTTGGGTTTTTTGTTTTGCTTTTTTTTTTCCCCCTTTCTGGCCTCAAGTGCTCTGTACCACTTTGTAAACAAAATGCTTTCAATAGCCCTTCCACCTGCCACATGCCCATCTGATATTTCTATGAACAAGGAGAAAGGAGCAGGACACCGGAGCCTCGGGCGGAATCCCGCGTTCGACCCAGTGGTGGAAGGAGGCACTGTGGTGGCTTTCGAACTTCCCCAGCTGACCCGACGCGGAGGCAGGAGGAGCGACGCAGCCCCAAAGTTCGTGCCCATTGTGGGGGCCTGACAAAGGCCAGAGAGCCCGGGGGGAAGGGGCTGCGGCGCCGTCCCCACGGCAGCTCCCTCCCCCAAGGACGCACTGCCCAGGGGGCACAAAAGACTTTCCAGATGGGGGGTGGGGGGGAGCGCGCTAGCTGGGGCTCGGACCTCCCATTGGGAGTCGAAATCTGGGGAACCTCTGCGACAAGAAACGATCCATTCTGGCCGAGAGCCTGATCCTAGAGGCCAGGCGCCGGGGTCAGGATGGGCAGCCGCCCGGAGGGTCCTGCCGGGCGCGGACGCGCTGGGACTCACCTGGGGGAGGAGGTGAGGGGGCCTCGGTGGCAGGTGGGGTGGGCGGGACGCTGCTGCTGCCGGGGAGAGCGGGAGTCGGGGTCTGCGGCGTAGTGGGCGCCGGAACGGTGGTGGCCACAGGGGTGGTCGGCGCCGGGCCAGGGGTCGTCGAGAGGGTGGTGGGCGCAGGTCTGGTCGTCGCCCGAGGGGTGGTCGGAGGGCGCTCCACCGCCGGAGGGGTGGTCGACGAAGGGCCGAGCGGCGCCTGAAAGGTGGTCAGAGGGGGTCCGGTTGTCTCCCGAGGAGGGCTGGTCTCCGGGGACAGGGTGGAAGAGGATGCGGTCAGGGGTCGGTGAACGGTAGCGCGCGGAGGTCCAGTCTTCGGGGCCCGGGTCGTGGGAGCCGTAGTCTTAGAGAAAGAGTGAGTGGGCTCGCCTTCCAGCCACGGGCTCGGCGACGCGTCCACCTGCCCCGCGGCCCCGCTGCCACCGGTGACATTCCCCGCCGCGGTTGCTGAAGCGGCAGCGGCAGCGGCAGCGGCGGCGGCGCAGCACAACAGGGCGAGGCCGCCCAGGCTCGGCAGGCTCCTCATGGCGCGCTCGGCTCCGCCATTCATTCATTCAGTCAGTCGGCCGGTCAGTCATCTTCTCCTCCCTGCACTCGGACCAGGGAAGCCGCCAGAGCCGTCACCGCTACCGCCACCGCCACCCGGCGCACCATCGCCACCTCCCTCTGACAGGCGGCCGGCCCCGCGGGCGGGCCCCAGCACAGAGGGAACGACCTGGCCGAGCGCGGACAGCCCGCCCTCTCCGATTGGCAGCCTCGCCCGACCAATGGGAAGCCACGCTAGCCCACGTGACCCAGTCGCTCTCTGGCCTCTTTATAGCATCCCGGGCCAATCAGAGGCCGTCAAGAGGGAGGGGGCGGTGCTAAGGCGGGAGGAGGGTGGTGCGAGCCCTGCTCCAGCGCATCAGGCTCGCGGCAGCTCGGGCTTTGTCTACCCAAGAAGCGGGGCGCGGGCCTCGGGCACCGGACGCCGCGGAGCAGACAAAGGACGCGCCCCGCGCGGCAGACACCGGGCCAAGTCGTCTGCTCCACTGAGCGGCGAGCGCGACCCGGGGCGGGGAATAAGATCTCGGGAGCTTGCCCGCCCTCTTGAACAATGGGGCGCCGGCGCCGCACCCGGGTGGGGACTGGGCTGGAATCCCCGCGACGGGCGAGGGCGCAGCAGCAAGGATGTAGAGTTCAGCATTGCCTCTGCTGCCTCAGAAACCTTCATCTCGGCCCTGCGAGGTCTGCGCTGCCACTCCCATTTCAGAGATGGGGAAACTGAGAGCATTACTGAACTAAGACCCACGCCCTCCCCAGGCACCTGCTGTGGGTCAGGCTCTGTGCCAGGCAGGAGAGGATGTCTAGAGACCCCCTCAGGAGCGGAAAGTGCGAGCTTCCTGCTTTGGGGAGAGACAGGGTCACTTGCACTTTACCCGAAACCCCGGGGAAAATAGGACCCAACGGATGAAACCTCAGCCTCTTGTAGCCTACTCAATGGTTTAGTGGCCTGAGCGCAGTTTTCTCACCTCTAAATAGAGGATGTTACACGTCGCATCCACTTCCACCGCACCCTGCCCTCCACACAGAGCTGTCTTGAGATCTACGCTCTAAAAGGGCTTGCCCCAGTGCCTGGCCCCCTGTAAACACGTATTAATGCTAACTACCGGTACTCTCAGTGCACTGTGCTAACACAAGCCGCGCGCCACAGCCCTGCTGAGTCCCGGGAGCCGCTTGCCTATTGCAGGAATTGGGGTGGGTCTGATAGCAGAACTTGACCCTGGGTGACACTAAACCCTATGAGGTTGGAATTCTGGCGCGCAGCCCCGCCCCATCCGCCCAGGATCCAGAGCTCGCTCACGCGCTGCAGCCTTGGCTCAGCAACCTTCAGAGGGAGCCCGGCTGAGCGGGTTTGTCATCTGACAGGGCTTATCCCAGCCCCACCGCCAACCCCATTCCTGGCCCCCGCTGTGTGATGCTTGCCTTTGTGCATGCACGGCTTCCCATTAGTCACTGGCCTCCAAGCAGAAGGGCAGGATGAGATTTGCTTGTGGACCTGTGTATATGTTAATGAAAAAATGCATTTATTTACCTGCATGAGTAGTGGGTGGGGAGAGAATATGTATGTGCCTGTGTATGAAAGTATAAACATCTTTGTGAGTCTGTGTGTATGAGTATTTTCCATATATGTGTGAGCTTGTATGGGAGCTAGTATCTATCTGTGTATGTTATGTGTATTGGTGTGTTACATGTGTATTTTCTGTGTTTTTTGCATTTGTGAGTATCTATGGCTGTGTCTTGGTAGGTCTGTCTATGTATGTAAAGGGGAGGGGAAAATGAAAGAGGCGTGTGTTGGTGTTCTGGTTTCAGACCAGTATTTAGCAAACACAAATCAAGATTGTTTTTACCTCTCTTGGGGTAAACAGGTCATGCCCCTTCCCAAAATTCTCTTGCTGTTTCTTCCTTGCCTTCAAACCTCAACCAACATACCATATCCTCTAAGGCTTTCCTGCGTTTCTGAATGGGAATTAATCTCTCCATCCCCAATTTCCCACTGCCCTTTGTTATTCATCGATTACAACCCTGATCTATCAATCTATCTCTCCCCTGCCTCTTCCTAAAAGAATTAAGGATGGGTTTCAGAGAAAGACACAAGATAAATTGAACTGCCTTCATGGCTTTATTAATTCTCACAGGCATGCATCTGCCTACTATTCCAACCACTAGAACTTCTGATTTATGTCTGTCCCTCTCATTAGGCTGTTCTCTCTGTTCTCAGCCTAGCAGGGGTCATACATGTGAGCGCTAATCCCTGCTGCTTAACTTGAATTAAACTGAAAAGAAATCCAGTGTGCCATGGAAGAGCTTGTATCTTTAGAGTCAGACAGATCTGGTCATCACTCTGCCAGCTGTGTAACCTTGGAAAAAACTTTGCGCCTCTCTGAGCCTCAGTTTTCCCATCTATAAATTAGGGCCAATAAATTCTGTCTTAATTAGTTAAGCTAAGCATGGTAGAGAATTTTTTACAGAGCCTGGCACATGGAGGGTGCTAGATCTGTGTAGGTTTGTCTTTCATTTATACCGGTGCTAACTTTGAACCTTGTTGGCTAAAGGACCACAGAAGAAACCCCTGCCCCCTTAATTTCCCCATCAGGTGACATGGCTTGATAGTTGCCCTACCAGATGTCCCTAAGTGATAGCTGAAAATGCTAGGATGACCTTCAGCTGTGCTATATCAGAGATTCTCTGGCAGTAGGAGAGAAGAGCTGATGCAGCTTCTTTGCCTGGAGAAAGACTAGAAGACCTTGCCGAAGTAATTCAGGCCAGCTCTGTACTTCACACAGGGATCATCCTATGCTTATCAGATGGGTTAATTATCCTGCAATATGTATAGGAATATTGAATTTTTTTAAAGACAACTTAAGTGTGTTAATGTTATTCATTCCTACATATAACTCTTAAATTTCTTGCTCTACCTTTATCTCCAAACTGTAAGATGACTTTTTAAAAATTTCTCAGGAATAATACTTTACTTTGTGTTTAAAAATCAGAAACACCTTAAATATCCAACATCAGAGAAAGATATTATAACTATTCAACTTAATCATATAAAGTCATTGTAAAGGTGGCTGAGAAGGCAGTATAACAACTAGTAACACTAGATCACCAATTTCTTACTATGTGCTAGGCATTATACTAAGAGCTACATGTGAAATATTTTGGTTTCTCCTAAGCAGAACTTCAGGAAGTAGGTACTATTATTATTCCTATTTCACAGATAAGGAAACTAGGGCACAGAGAGGTTAAGCCACTTGCCCACGGTCACTTAGTAAGGATGGCTGTCTCTACTAATTCCCTTAACAACTGTGCTATAAAGGGGAAGTACTTATAACACAATGTTAATAAGAAAAGAGAAAATAAAAATTATAGTCGTGACTTTCTGTGTAACAGAATGTTGACTGGCACTTTTGCTGTTGCTCCAGAATTGCAGCTAAGGAGCAGGGCTCTAAAGAGAGCTGTCAACCCACCCATGACACCTGGGGCCTCAGGCCTTAATGAGGCTGGGCAGGGGAGGCGGGGAGGGTGACGCAGAATGGCAGGGGTCGAAGAGGGCCCTGTCCGAGTCCACGCACAGCCTGACCTTTCTCCTGGAGGCAATGCAGACACTATGAAGTGCCCCGTTTGATTCCTCTTGTATACTCAGCACCTAGCAAATAAGAAGTGGCTTAAGAATTCTTCATTGAGCTAAATGGAATCTTATCATGGGACAGACACTGTTCTAGGAGTTTTACATTCATAATGAATTTATTCTCCCAAACTAAGGCTATCGCCTGTACTTGAAAGAAGAGGAAACTAGCCTCGGAGAGATTAAGGGACCCGCCCAAGATCTGCCCAACTTCAAAGCCCAGGCTCTTCTCTAGACATCACAGTCCTTTGATGTGGCTACAGTGCAGCACGTAGTAGGAGGTGGATGAACACGCTGAAAGAAAGGACACATACATACCAAATTTAGCTCTCCTGCTAGAGCAGAATGAAAGAAAAGAGGAGCTTTGGGCATAAGAAAAGAAGGCATAACAAGATAATAGATGTGGCTCAGCAAAATAACTTCATCTCCCAGATGCCAGTAAACCGGGGAAACTTTCGCCTTTCTGGTTTCATTGAAACAGCAGTGCTGACATGGACTCTTTCTAATCCTGCCGGAGCCTAGCCTCAAATCAGATGTGGCTAAATGCAAGGTTTGGCATCATCTGCAGAAAAACTCTAGGATTATTGGGGCTACTCTTAACAAAGTCTGCCTGGCATCGGACATGAACAGAAAACTCACTGGGAAATACGAGTGGCTAGGAAGGATGAAATACCAGTACTGTACATTAAACTTAAGTAATCAAAGATTTGCAGACTGAGACAATGAGTTATAATTTTTTAACCAATTGATTTGGCAAAGCTTTAAAGCAGGTGGTAATACTTGTTGCTGGCAGGGGAGTGCCTCACACTGATGATAGGAATGTGAAGCGAGAGAACCTTCCCAGGAAGCCTGAAAAACGTCTGTACTCTTTTGACTCATTTCTACTTTGAAAGAATATATCCAAGGGGAATAAATAATCAGATGTAAATAAAGAACTATGTACAAAAACATTCATCCAATGTTACTGATAGTAGTGAATATTAGAAAAAAATCTAAACAGATAATAATAAGGGATAGGTTAAATACTTTGCGCTCTGTGGCCTCCCTATGTTAGAATACTATACATCTATAAAAAATAACACTCACGAAGGGAATTCTTGGTGAAAAAATGGGTTATCACTACACACCCCTTAGGATGGCCAAAATCTAGATACACAACACCAAATGCGACCAGGAGGTAGAGCAACAGGAGCTCTCATTTATAACTAGTAGCAATGCAAAATGCCAAAGCTACTTCAGAAGATTTCTTATAAAATTAAACATGCTCACTGTATGATCCAGCAATTGTGCTCCTTGGTACTTACCCAAAGGAGCTAAAAACAAGTGCACACCAAAACCTGCATACAGATGTTTATAGCAACTTTATTCATAACTGTCAAAACTTGGAAGCAGCCAAGATGTCCATTAGTAGGTGAATGGATAAATAAACTGCAGTTCAACACTAAAAAATTAGCTGTCGAGGCACAAAAAGATATGAAGGAATCTTAAATGCACAATACTGAGTGAAAGAAGCCA